AGATCAACAATCCTTTTCTGCTTGGTACTAACTCAAGTTTTCTATATACTTTTTTCATTAAAAAAGTATTAAAAGAAACACAATTTCCACTTCTTGACAGGAATAAGCTATATAGATTGAGCCACATAATGAAATTGATTATAAATCTTTTGTATTTTATTCCAGACACATGTTTTCCAAAAATCATCATGGTGTCATGGTGATACCAAACAAGTTTATTTTTGTTGTGTTGGAAGCAAAAACACATGCATCTGAACAAAAGATATACAGGTGCATGACTAATCTACATGGTTCTTACACTATGCATACATAATTGGAATGAATCTTTTAAAGTTTTAACTTGATTAAGAAAATTTTGGCATTAGAGTCTTAACTTGGCTTTATATTATTTTAATTATAGTTCAAACCACTCCAATTATTTTGAATCGAATTTGAGATGTTCAGTAAGGAAAAAGTTTTCTCAATAAATTGGGGCGGGAGGGTTGGGTGGGGTGGTTAGGAGATTAGGATTGGGGATGGTTATTACCAGGAGGTCGAGAGTTCGATTCTCGCTAGGGTCATCTATTTTTTTTTTTTAAGAAAAGTTTTCTCAATAAATAATTTAATCTGTGCATGCCAAAAAAGTCCCATTATGTTTAGAATTTTAATTTTATTACAATTTATTCTCATATAATATTCAATCAACTAGTAGTAAATCAAAATTTACGAAAACAATTTATTGCTATACTACAATAGAACGTCGGTAAATTAATAATTTATAAATTAATAACTTCTAACAATTAATATTTTTTTTCTCCGGTCCCAACTTGGGACCAATACAAAAATTGAAAAAAAAAATCGAAAAATGATAAGATAATTGATGGTTGTCAAACCAACAAAGATAAAAGAACCTACTACTAAGAAATTTGGTAGTATAGCAATGAGTAGGGTCGAGTCCTTAGGGAACAAGGAAGTGAAAATATTCTAATTAAAAATAAATTAGCTAAATGGAGAGTTTTAAGATTCATAACTAATGGGTGACAAAAATAATTTACAAACTTAAAAGATACTTTTTGAAAATCAATAAGAAGAGAAACCCTAGTCAAAGGAATAATTTTCACCTTGATGTATCCAACTGATCCTTGATGCAATGTTTAACTCAACAAAATGTTTAACTCAACAAACTAAGATTATATTGGTTATCGTTGTTGGAACCTTTAACAACTCAGTCTTTTCAATTAATTACCAGCGATTAAGAAACCTTCATTAACCCCTCTATAGCCAAAAATACTACATAGAACTCCAAGGATTTAGTTTTCGACAAGCAAAGACACAATTTAATTTCTAATAAACAAATCTTGTTTCATCAAAAATTGATTATTTATTTTCACAACACAAATAAACTACTTACCTAGCAATCACTTGTATCGTCTCTTCTAAGGAACAAACAAACTTTGTTTTTCAATTAATTAGATTATCTAGGAAAATTGAATAATACCAGTTATTCAAATAATGCCAAATAATCATCAATACACGGCAAAGAGAATAAATAAATACTCAAAACATGTTGGCGAATAGAAAACAATTAGATCTTACAATTGAATGACATCAAGGATTCAATAAAATCCTTCAACTAGAAAAGAGATTTAGCCACTAATCTTATTAAAAACAATAGAAAAAAATACATAATTTAATATTACAGAGCTAGTCTTAAAGGAAGTAGAGAGAAAAACTTGAAACTAGAGGCTCAGAGCCTCCCTATGCCTCTTACGATGTCACCCTCTTTTTCAAAAACAATGAAAAAGAATATATATATATATATATATATATATATATATATATATATCTTACTATATTAGAAACAAAAACCTCCCTTTCAAACACTTCATATGATTGCCACGTGACATATAGAAAGTACTAAATTGCCCTTTTGTCTAACCATAACAAAATTACTAAATCTCCCTTTGCACTTTATGTGACATGTTTTTTTTTTTTTTCTTTATGTTTCATTCAACTAGAGTGGTTTTTTAAATTGAATTGATCAATTAGGTTTTTGTTACAAAGTGTCAATTTTGTTTTAAGCGTATACCCTTCGGATGAAGCTTATTACAAAGCTATTAAAAATCTCCAAAACTAAGTATTGATTTGGCACGACCAATGGAGAACATCAATAAATCATCTTACTAATATTTAAATTTATTAGGATGCTTTTATATTTTATCTAACATATACTTCAACACATATATTCGATTAAGGCTATTTATATTTAATAAGTAACACTTATAAAATATTTCTAAAACATACATGGCGAAATACAATTTATTTATTTTTTTGCGAAATACAAATACTTCTATGATCACACTTATAAACATTTCTAAATCCTTCAAATATTTTTAAAATATATCGCTCCAAATACAAAATTTTATTTTTTTTCAAATATAAACATTTCTAAGATCTACAGATAGACTGGGCCAGGGTCGCGCATTGCGCAACCAGACATCACTAGTATATATATATACAAATAAATAGGGCAGCAGCACGTTCAAGTACTCCAAAATCCGCAAAGTCCTTGTAATTTTTTCGGAAATTACAATCTGATCCTTAATGTTTTGATAAAATTACAAAATTATCTCAAAACTTTGAAAGGTTTGCACTTTAGTCCCTAATTTTGCATGCCTATGTGGGTATAGTCTCTCTTTGATTGAATTTCCTACTTTCTTCATTGATTTTTCCATGGATTTTGTGTGTCCAGGCGAGAATCAACCTCTTTTTCTTCAACTTGAAATTTGATTCAATACAATCTTCAAAAACTCTTCAAAATCAACACTTTTCTTCTTTTTATCCCAAATCCTTCCTATGATTAAATTAAGCACAAAACACATATATTAGCATAGATACTATTCAAAATAACATGTAAACAACAATAAATATTATGTTAATATCGACCTCATCAATAATAATATTTCATAAAATCTCCTATATGTCTATAGGCCCCAAGAATATCATAAATTAATAAGTACCCTAAAAACAGAAAAATAATAATAATAAATATAAACATTTAGCACAATATGAACTATTGATACTTGTTTTTTAGTCTCTGGAGATGATATGAATTATCTTTAGATATTTAGTATTCAAAAGAGTTTTAATACTTAAATAATTCATATGTAAAGACAGCTGTAAATTATGTAATCTAATCACGATTTTTTTCTCATTAAAATTATTTAAATTAATAATTTATTAATTTATCGACTATCTAATAATTCTCTAAATTGATAATTTTGGTGGTCCTAACACTATTAATTTATAGAAATTCTACTTTGTTGGTGGACAAGGTGAGGAGGATATGGAATAGGAAATCTAAGGCGACTCGACTTTCATTCATGGAGTACAAGTATATGAATAGCGGCCTTTTGAGTATGATCCCAAAACTTAGAGGGTACTTGATAGAAATGGCTAAAAATTTGGGGATCCAAAAGTAATTTCAGATTTCATTTCTCGCAACCGGCCTTGTTTGGTTCGGGTTATAACATAGATTCGGATCCTTTGCCGAGTTTCCTTTTGGTTCACTTCTTATATACAGTATATATATATATATATATATATATATATATATATATATATATTTGCTGGCAATTGAGAATTCTTCTTCCATTTCCCGGCGGTGACCGGAGAACTGTTCCCAAGCCGGAACCTTGAAAACCCTAGTTAGCTCCCCAGGTGAATTTTCTTTTCCTTCGTCTTTAATTATTTTATAATGTATGCTGTATTAGGTTTATGGGGGGATTTTTAAGGGGCTTTAAGCTAGATATGAGCTGAAATTGAATGGAATTCTTGTCGAGTTGAGGTGGGTTTTGAGCTTATTGTTTTCTGTCTTTTGCTATCCGTTTAAAGTTTTGGTTCAGTTAGGGTGTTAAGATTTTCAGAACTTTTGTTATGAACGAAATAGATAGAGAAGCGTATCAATGTGCTTAATGAATTCTGATAATATGATAATGGGTTCTTGTCAATCACACGAAGTTAGAGTTGAGAATTATATCTATAGCTTGGAGTTTATTGCTATCTGTTGATTGAGATTATTATTAGCTTGAGCCTTGAATTATGTACCAAGGTGCCATCATTTCATTTATCGACACCTATGATTTCTCTGCAGACGAATAGAATTACTATGTACTTTTTAGAGTGGTTTTATTGCTTGCGTAGAAGATGGAACCTAGGCTTCAAAGATGACACATTCTAATGGTTCTTTGTGGTGTTTAAATGGTTATTTGACTCATTATCTGATTGGAAATCTAAAAATAATTTTCTGTATGCTCGAGAATTCGTGTAGTTTATGATATCTTTTTCCGTATTGAATTCGGGTATAATTTACCGATGGGAACTGCCGTGAGACGCAATTAAAAGCAGTTCAGAGTATGTATGTGTGTGTGTGTGTGTGTTTTTTTTTTTAATGTTATATGTGATTTAGTGCATCTTCAATTGATGTAGTCGTATCTAGGGGTGTTCACGGTTTGGTTCAATTCGGTGAAACCGCCCAAACCGGTCATTGGTTTGGATTAGCGGGCGGATTATAAATGAATTTATAAACCGGTGGATTTGAAAATTGAAAACCGGTCATACCGGTCCGGATTACACTATCAAACCGTCTGTCGAACCCGACCGGACCATATATATATTATTAAATAATAATATGATGGTTTTGTATATATAGGGGGGATAATGAATTTTTTTGAAATTCTTAAGTTGTCTCAGTGGCATTATTGTTCCCCCATTCTTGTATTTGATTGATTGAGGTCGTGTGTTCTGAGTCCCCCCACGCACTAACATTTTTTTTTCCCATTTTTCCCCCCCTAGATATAAATAGGTATTTTTTTTCTTCTCATTCCCAAACCGAAGCCTCCGCCTCCAATTTCTTTTTTTTCTCATTCCCAAACGGCAAAGAAGCCAAGCCGCCACTGCCCGCTGCTGCACCTCCGCCCGTTTCTCCGCCTCCACCACCGAAGCCGCCCCTCCCAGCCTTCCTCCTCCTCCTCCTCGTCTCCCTCCTTCAGACACAAGAACTGCAAGAAATAAATGTAAGTCTAATGTTAAGCTCGATTGATTTTGGGTTTTTAGATTTGGGGATTTCGATTGGTAAATAAATACACAGAAGTTTTTGGATTAATTTGATTTGATTCGTTTTGTTGTTTTGATTGGATTAAAACTCCTAGTATTCAGAATGGCATTTCTGATTTGATTTGTTTCTTCACGGGTTCTTGAATTTGTCTCTTTTTTGGGTGGTCAACCGATGGAGTTCAACACCAATAGTCTCCAAAACTCTATCCCATTTTTCAACGCGCTTTGCTATATTAATCCTCCTCCCCTGCATTCAATTTCAATTACTAACTACAAAGTCCTTCAACTTCTTCTGTTTTTTTTTTTTGGTGGGGTTTTGAAGGCTTCAACTTTAAATTAAAATTGATGATTGATCTAGCAAGTAGTCTAGTGGGCCTATTTTTGTTTGAGTTTCTGTTTATAGAAGAAACTTTATTTGGAAAAAAACTACCAAGTCTACCATTTGTTTTTTTATGTAAAAGGTTAATCAATTTGACTAGTTATTGGGTTGGCTACTTTGCTGGTTTTTAAACAGGTTGTAGACTTAGCAATTATGGAGATGATGGTCTAAGGAAGCTTTTTGGAAAATGGCGGGGATTGCCCGGATTTTCAACTAAGGAAGCTGCCCAACAACATTGATTTTTAATTTTTTGACTGGGGATGAATGTTCGGATTTCTGTCTTGTTTTTTTCATTTTTTTCCCATTTATGGACTTCATCGATTACTGTATTTAATATTTATGGAAAAAGCCCCAAAAAAGGCCCAATAACAAAAAAATGTTCAATTTTTTGTCTAAAACAGAAAAGCCCAATTAAAAACCCAAACCGTCAATCCGCCCAAACCAAACCGTTCAAAACGGATTGGATTGGTCCGGTATAAACATCAATCCGGTTTGATTACGGATTGAAAAAATTTAAAACCGTAATGACCGGTTTGGTTACGGATTACTATTAATCCGGACCAATCCGGTCCGTGAACACCCCTATCGTATCTAGGTGAAACTGGCTATATTTGTTTGTTTTAGCTGCAATCAGTTATTTAGTCTGTCGCTTGAGCTTATCATATTTCAATGTTGTAGGCATTTGTGAATTACGGGAAGAAGAAGGCATAATGTCATCATTCACAAGTAGAACAACTGCAGCGGCAGTTGCCGGAGATCTGCAAGTAGTAACAGTACCAGCTTCAGGGAAGCCACCTCTTCCTCCTTCATCCGCCAAACCCTCGTCCAATGCCTTAGTAGAATATAATCCTTCTACGGCGAATGTCCTCGAAGATGAGGATTTGGAAATCAAGCTCCGACGAATACTCGAAGGTGTACCTGTCCGTGTTAGCAATACATCTGGGAGTTCTGCTGGTTCTGGCTCTGGTGACTTCCATCAGGTATTTTTTAACTTCACAAATTATATAACTCAATGGTGCTTACTTGGGTTGCAACACTGTTTTTCTGCAAATGACTGTAGGATGTCAGCTTTGTGTTGATTGTTACTCGTTTATTTAATAATGTATATGGCAAAAATTGTCTTGTGGAGATCTGCTTTTTGATGGTTCCATAGCACATCCTACATGGCTGTTGGAGGACAAAAAACTTTTAATTGTTTTGAAAGGAAAATAGACAGAGAGAGAGAGAGAGAGAGAGAGAGAGAGAGAGAGAGATGCTGAATGTACTATTTGTTACTTGAAGAAGTTTTCCAGTTTGAAACCTGTATTAGAGTGCATGCATTTCCCGTTATAACAGTTTTGTTTTTTCTCGACATTAATGCCCATATTCTGTTGAAGAGAAAAGAGAGGATGTGGAAGTGCTCGCTAGCCTGCATCTGCAGATTATGTTGAATTGAGTACAATATTAGCCTTGTGTAAGTCGCTTGGTATGGCCTTTAGGTCACTTTGGATTATAGAATTGACTGGAGTTAATGAGAGTTTATTTCTGTTAAGAAAATTCTGGGACAGGAGATCTTTATAACTGTCTATGTGGACAACCTCGCAGATTACAAGAGGGCTCACAAAATGGGTAATTTTCCTATGCTTTAGATATAATTCAAGAAGCAGGCAATCCAATTTTCTGAAATTCTAAAATGCTAAATATCCTGAAGTTTAATTGTTGTGATTTGACATAGAGTCGAAGGTATGGTTACATTGTGAAAGGTTGCATACACGACAGATGTGGAGCTTATAGAGTGGGGAGCTTAAGGTGTGGGTGTTTGGGTCAGGATTTTTCCGAGTTCATTTTGGAGTTTGTTGTGAGGTAGATGCTTGTGGTGGATAGGAGCATGGAAATAAATTGTTGATGGCAAGTTTATTAGTCTGAGTTTATGTGTACCTCTGTGTTACATGCTAAACTAATGGGTTCTACTTGTATCATTTCTTTGGGTTACGTTCGAGTTGTATTTCGAATCATGTCACTAATTGCAACTCCTACTGTCTCGTTTTGTGATATATATTTCCTTCTCAGGTCTTGCCATCTTTGTTTGTATTTTTTGTGTACTGTTTAGTTCTTGTGCTTGGGTATAATTGATGATCTGATCTTCTGCATCGATGATGACTGCGCTTTTTAACTCTTCCATCCTTTTTTGTTTTTGGATACAGTATCGCCAAATGAGACGGAAAGAGCAAGACCGGCTTGCAAGGATGGAAGTTGACTATCAGAAAAGGAAAGAGACGGTAGAATTCCATATGAGAAGGGAAGAAAGACTAAAGGCTGCAGAGGAACGCACTGCCAAGAAGCGCTTGAAACGCCAGAAGAAAAAGCAGAGGAAGAAGGGAAGAAAGAACGAATCAAGCACTAGTGGTGCAGGGGATGAAGATGATCGACGGCAAAGCGGAGAATCATCATCATCAGATGACGATGATCGTGCCAATTGAACTTTATTGCTTTGTGATCATTAAAAAGGTCTTTCAGTAGTCTGATATGTGTAGTCTGCAGCTTGTTGTCTTGAAGTTCACCAAACACCATTATGAGTTTGTGTAATGAAAGCAAAAGAGTTTTGGAGGAAAGAAAGAATTTCACAAGGGCTGCAATGTCATTAAATCTAGTCACTTTTAATCTACTACTGACTATTCGACATTAAGTTTGATAATCAGGTTGTATTTCATATTTACTTATCAAAATTTGGTAATTGTTACTCCCCGGTCCTTAATATAAGGCATTTTGATTTGTCTTATATTTAATCTAGTATCTATTTTTTAATTGACAAAAAAATTTTAAAAATATTTCATAACAATTAATAGAATATGAAAATATATTTTTAAGGGTTTTTTATCAATTAAAAATGTGAATTAAATGAAACTTATGACAAAATCAAAATGTCTTACATTAAGGATCGGAGAGAGTATGTTAGTGACAATATTGCCTCCAAAAACACTTTTAGCATGCATTTGAATTCTTTTCCATTTAGTGTATAACCCACACATAGGAAATGAAATATGTTATGTTCAAGACTTCAAGTCACATTTTTCAGTGTTTTGGACTAAGCTTGTGTTGCGTTTTTAAAAAATATGATAAATTCACTTTTAAAATTAATCCATCCAACAATGGTTCTCATAAGTTACAACAAGAATTTGTGACTTAATTTGGTCATAATAAACAGTGTGACTCATTTGTATTGTCATCTTATAATGTAATTTCCATATACTGTAAAGTATTCATCATCTTCTGATGATAATAATATTAACTGAAATAAAAATCATTCTCAAAAAAAAAAAAACTGAAATAAAAATCTATAGTACTTAATTAAAGCAGCATACAAGCTGCTGATGTGTCAGCACCACAATGAAATTTTTTCCGCCAAAAGTTATTTTCAGTACAAAATCATTTTTGATATGTGGCACTCTAGGTATTTAGAAAAAAAAAAGATGAAATAAATAAATAAATAAATAAATCCCTTAATTAAAACTTCATACTAATTTCTTAATTATAGCTATAAAATAATCCCTTAAAACAAGAAATTTGAGTTGATAAAATCAAATGTAAAAAAAACTCCTTAAATCAGGTGAAACATTATTACGAGTAACGCCTTTTCCAATCTCCATAAATACAAAATGGTTAAATGAAAATTGACTCTAGCATAAAATTGGCTCAATCTATCTATCTATAGTATATTCTAAGAGAGAAACCAGAGAGAGGAAACATCATTTATCTCTGGAGTAACACATCAGCAAAAATCTTAAGTGTAATTTTCTTATAAATTCTCCAAATAAAACTTAGTGTAATTGTCCATTAGTCCTCCAAATTTGGATTGTTCTAATTATCTTATCCCTTAAAAGATTAATAAAATTTATTGAGATCCCACTTTAAGTTTAAAAAAAAAATAAGAAATATAAGAATTTCCTTGAAGCGGAGTTGCAATAAATTTTTTTCTTTTTTTTTTGTGTACAAGAAATAGTGTACACAAATTTTTTTTTTTTCATTTGGGAACATTTGAGCTAAACTTGAATTGTAACAATTAGGCATATATTATATTGTTGATTACAAAAGTTTTTTCAATATTAATAATGATTTTATAGGCGTCAATACTAACATTTTGTTTGTTTTGCTATTGTAGGTCCATACTGTATTTGTTCGAGTTCTTATATTAATTTTAGCAAGTTAAATATTTGGTTGACTATATATGGACATAAAAATGATTTCTTTAATATTTCATTTGATTTTTTAATAATTGATACAGTTAGAAAAGTAAAATAATCGTAAATTAATAATAATAAATTATTAAAAGAATTATTGTTTCCCGTGCATCACACGGGTATAACATCTAGTCAAATATATAATACCTCAATCAAGTATTTTTGTTCAATGTAATACAATTGGCTCAATAAAAATAAAAGCGACCCCCTTAATATTTTTGCTCCAGCAGACAATTGGCTCAATCAAGAATACATCAATCCTTAAATTTGACTTAATACCTAGCAATAGAAAAACTACCGGGGGAGCAAAAGATGATCAACTCTCCACTATGGCAATCGAGATATTATATCCAAAGATTTTACTACCGAATATTTATTTGTTAGTTCAAGAGATATTATCTCAATAGTATTGTTATTTGTTAATAGCCAATGGCCATGACCTGCAAGTAAAAAACAAAAGATTTTTTTATACGATTAGAATTGTATAAAAAAAATGTTATTTACTTATACGTACAAAATTCTACGTTATCGTGATTTGTGTTATAATATTATATTATATATATTATTATTCTAAAATATATTTTTTTCCTTATAATTTTTTTTATTTAATAATTTTAAGACACAAGCGCCCAAGGCATTGGCCTGGAGTAAGCATTTAGTTTAATTTAAAAAGTAAACAGAAAGAATAATGAAAAGCTGAAAAATGAAAATGGAACTCCTTTTTGGGGGGATAAAAGATGAACTTTCTGTAAACACCATATTTATGTGTACTTGTAAAGTACAATCAATAACCAAAAAAAACCAACTGAGAATTCAGCTTTACAGCTAATTTAATAAGTTAATTAATTGATTAATTAATTACTCAAAATTACCACATTGTCCCCCATTGCAATTCAAAAAAATTTCACCCAAAAGGCCAAAACTAATTTCATTTTCCAGCGAAAACATTTTTAATCGTAAACGGAAAGAGTAATCGGAATCCGCCATGAGAGAATCCTCTCAGTATCCTTCAGTTCATCGCGCTTTCGGCGGCGGCCCCGGTAATGACGCTACAGCTCTCTTTGCAATGCCTCTTTTTCTTTGTTTTTAGCATTTAGCTTTTTCGAATTTTGAGTTTTGAGGTTTGTTTTTTTATTCTATCAAAATTCTTTCCGGATGATAAAACCCTAATTGTGAGTGCAGCTCAATTTCAGCTTCGTTTTGGTTGGCCGCTCCGTGGAGTTTGTTATTTCTTGTGGAATTTTCGTCTATTGTTTTTAAGCGGGTGTTAAATGTATCAATTCCGACGATGTTTGCTTCATGATGAACTAATTTACAGCATTTTTTGAATGGTCCGTGATAGGTGTTGGGTTTTGGTGGATTGGGTTTAGTAGTATAAATCGATGTAAGCTTAATAGTATTACGTTTGTTTAATTATTCTGTCAATACTTTCTTAATATCATCCTGAATCGTCTGAGGAGTAAAATATATTGCTTTTTGAGCCTTTTTTATTTTCTTCTTTTTCTTTAAGCGTTGATTTAAGAGCTGATTATGGATATTTTATTGATTGAGGATGTCAATTTCACTAAGCTGTGGAGTTGATTAGACCAATACTATGTTTCTTTTATAGATATATACTACCGTAGCTAATATGCATTTTGATGGGTGGGATTGGATTTATTTTACTGATGAAGGGGGTGGGTGGTGGCCATATACATGTAGTTGCTAGTACATTAATCTGTATGTTTATGCGCTTCGACCAGTTGGAGTTGGGTTTCATTGGTCTGGTAGTACAGGATGGATTTTGAGATTTTTAAAGGGGAATTTTTGTATTTTGATTGGATTGAATTGCTCTTATAAGGGGGCTTCTTTTGCATATGCAGTTGCTGATGTTTTAATGTGGAAGAGATGGGGTGCAAGCGTTGCTTTGTTGGTTGGCTCAACTTCTACTTGGTACCTTTTCGAGCGTGGGGGTTATAATCTCTTAACCTTCATTGCTAATGTCCTGTTGCTCCTTGTTGTAATACTCTTCTTCTGGGCTAAATCAGCATCACTTCTCAATAGGTACTGTTTTTTCTGGTTGAACTTCATTGAATTATTAGTACTATTTTGAGCATTCTGGCATTGTTTAGTTGCACTTCTTGCTTGCCTTGGTAATTGTTTAGTTTGTGGGTTTTAAACATCTTGACCTTTTTTTCCTTTAATTGGGCCTATTTGGAAACGTTGTGTACTATTACTTTCGTTGCTTCATATTCACGAATATGGCCATAAGAGAGGTGTTATTCACTATTTAGGTTTGGAATCCTGGTGTTCCTGGAACAATATACGTGTAGAATCTTTTTAAGAAACTTAGGACAAAAGTAATATGAGGCAGGTAAGGGGCAAAGGTCGGAGGAACTTTTATGTTGGTGCTAAGGTCACAACTATTTGGATTTTGGAACTTGTTTTATTCTTCTGATATGATCGTAAAGATGTTGCTTTTACTTCTTATGTGAACTTAAATAGATAGTATATACTTTTATTTCAGACCTCTACCTCCTCTGCCTGATCTCACTGTTTCTGATGAAACTGTGACCAAAGCTGCTGATGTCGCAAGGGAGTGGATCAACAAAGTGTTGTTAGTTGCACGTAAAATTGCTGTTGGTGGGAATCTGAAACTTTTGATTCAGGTATGTTTCCATTCCAATGATCCTCTTTATGGTCCAAATTTTACTGGATATATTACTTATTGTTAACCTTGCTTTTGACAGGTTGCTTCTGGATTATGGATGATTTCATACATTGGGAGCTTTTTCAATTTCCTTACTTTGCTCTATATTGGTGAGGTTTTCTCCGGTTGAGTTATCCAGTTGGTCAATAAAAGGGTTCATCACTTCACACAAAATGTGCTTGACTGTTTTCTTTTCTAATATGATTCAGGGGTTCTTTTGAGTCTATCGATGCCAATACTTTATGAAATGTACCAAGATCAAATCGATAGCAACTTGCTTTTGGCTTATAATGTGGCTCGGGCTCAGTATAGAAAACTTGATCAGACAGTGTTGAGAAGAATTTCAGGTGCAATGTCCAAGGAAAAAAAGACACAGTAGATATAGTGTACGTTTTCTGATCTTTAACTATGCATTATTGGTAATAGAAATTTTACTTGCTTTGGGCTTTAAGGATAAAAATGCTGGTCTTGTGCTGTTATCTCATTTAAATGATGTTCCCTTTAGTAGTATTACAATTTATTTGATGTCCAAAGAGGAGTTACGGCTAGTATCTATGAAGATAAATTTGTTGCAGTTGAGGTAGAAACTCAAGGTTGCTATGAGTTTTCGTGTTGTAATTGCTTTTGATGGCAAATGTAGGAGAGCTTTGTGTTTTAAGTTTCAGTATTTTCAGTCTGTAAACAAAAATTGTGAACTCCATTCTCAAAAAAATGATAAACTAATGTACTACACTGTTGCATACGCCTTTTTTATATTTTGTCCTCAATATTAATGTCAACTGACAGTCCTGAGGCTCTTTCTTGTGACCATCTTGGCTTAGCATACACTGGAATCTTGGTTTCATACTTCAATACTATATGAAGCACTGTAAAAATGTTACATTGTGCTTCAGATTATGAGAAGCCATGTTCGTTTGCTGTTTTTGGGTGCATTTCTTGGTACAATCATTTTAAGATGATGGTTATGTGCAATACAGCTCTGTATCTTTATAGATTAGTATCATTCCTTTGGACGCACTTCCTTGACTACTTCCATGTTCCATCTATGTGCAGGGCCAATTTGTTTGAAGATATTGAACCACATTTTGTGCTTTTATGGAAATTAACCATCAAGACCTGTAGAATTGTAGCCTCTTAACTGTTTTTGGAAATTGCTAATATCATCATTTTACCTCAATGAGTGCTGAACATTGCTTACCTTGGTGGATGCAATACGATATGGGTGTGTTTTATTTCTTCCACTGTACAAAACATTTTTTCATTATGGTTTCGGCGAAGGAGTTGTTTGATAGAGGGTGCTCAAATTCACCAAGTCAGAGTACTTTGTAGTTCATGAGCTTTGTAAGGAAGAATATGTTATTTGGATGGGTAAGGTTTCCTCTTGAGTAGTTAATTCTAGATTCGGATGAGTTGAATTGAAAGCCTTCATGATGGAAATTCTTCAGCTTACTGGTTTGATTGATATACCTTCATATCAGCTCTTCAGATCAGCAAAATTCTTACTTTCATTATTTTATATACGAAATTGTGTTCATTGCAACAGCTGGCGACCGTGTTTTGTTTTGTTTTGTTTGAGTCCGTATCCAGTGCACCCGGGTATACCGTATACCCTCACCAAACACACGTATTACACGCGCTCAACATTTTTCACCTTTACATTAAATGTGGTTATCCACCCATTTCATACTGGTTATCCTATGATGTTATCCTGCTTATCCAATATTTCTTTACTGATTATCCAATGCTCTGTATTGATTATCCAGGACTTTTGTACTGGTTATTCAGCCAATATGCAGCAATATCCAACCGTTTGTAATGGTTATCCAGGATCTTTGTACTAGTTATCCAACTTGTTACACCTGATTATCCGAATGTTTTATAGTGATTATTCAGCTAAAAAAAATGCAATTACAGTCTTTAACCTGATTATCTATGAATTTATACTTGTTATCCAAAACCTCAATACTGATTATCCATATGTAACCAATGCCTATCCACTATGTGGACATAACAAAACAAGGATTCAAAGAGGACTTTCAAAAAGACATAACAAAAGAAAATATCCATAAGAAAATGGCTATCCAAACGGCATGTTCATTAGGGGGTTTCGCCCCCCATGATAAACTAAACGACTCTCGCGGCTACCGGAATCGCAGGTCACCAACCTGCCCCGGCTGCACCGCCCCGCCGAACATGCCAATATAGCTAAGGTAATCCTTTTTTCGTGTGTGTGTAAGGAGAGTGTGTTATTGCGTTAAGAGGGGACACAAATTATTTGTATAAATCTCCCCGTGATAAACTAAATGACCCGGCTGTGCCGCCCCCATGCCGAACATGGCAAATTTCATAAATAATATTTAATTGAATGAGGAGAAATTTATCAAATGATGGAAAACAAAAAATGAATGAGGGACAGCTGGATAATCAGTATAAAAAATATGGACAAGGATATCCAAGAAATATATAAAAGGAAAAAAAATGAAATTTGACAATTGGTTATCCAGCTGTATGTAACTGGTTATCCATAATGTGCACACTGGTTATCCACTATGTCCATACTGGTTATCCAACATGTTAATAATGGTTATCCAGCTGTGTGTAAATGGTTATCCATAGTGCCAACACTGGTTATTCACATGGTGAACACTGGTTGTCTATAGTGTGGAAAGGGAATTTATATATGCCGCGTTTAAAAAAAAAAAGAAAAGAAAAAGAAAGATGAATTATTTAGCGAACTCATGCTATTCTAAGAGAGTAAAGTATACGTGCAGGGGGTACACAGTGCCCCCGGGTGTACCAGATAATTTGCCTTTTGTTTTAATTGAGTAAGAACTTGGGGTAAATGTGGACAGTCATCTCATTTCTAGTTTGTAGTTACATTTCCAGTTTGATTTTCAGTTTTTTTTCATTTTTTTCTTAACCCTATAGGTTGTATGAAAATCTAAGCAATTATGTGTGTGGATATGAAATGGTGACTTTAAAATTTATAATTATTTTTAAGATTAGACTGTAAGTGAAGAAACTTTTTAAAAAAATTTGTTTTCGTTTCAAAAGTCTTTCCGTATCTTAATTTTCAAGATTATTCTCCAGAGATGAACTTAACCATTTCTATGTAACTTTTGGCATATTCTCATACCGTAACACAAATTTGTGATAAGATACAAGACTTTTGCCATATAATTTTCTTTTTATGTTTCTCATGTCATATAACAAATTGTTATCATATGGTATCACAAATTATTATCCCTCTCCCAACCCGGCTAAAAACACTCGAGAAAATGTGTCCAGCTTTGCCTCAGTTTGACCAAGTGATTGATAGAGCACTTGATATCAACAAACTGCTGCCTTCCATATATGTAATTTGTCAGCTGTAATTTACATTTTGGATGAACCTAACCTAGCTAGAAACCCAGGGAATTAGACTGATCCACCTACGTACTTCCTCCAAAAAGAATATTGATATACAAATATAGATATAGCACCAAAAATTTTATAGTTTTCACCATCATTGGATGATATGCACCATACCGCAACTGATTCTCCATTTCAGCGCCAATCACCACACCATAGAGTCTTCAAAGGCAATCGCAACATAAGAACTACACTTTGCCGAATCAAATCTTCCATTGTCCTTGCTGATGGAAAAGATCTCATTTTGGAACTAAAACTGTCGATTGGAGAAAGGATAAGCGGTTTCTCGTTAGCTTCAACTTTTCTTCCAATTCTTTCTCTTTTTCTTTCACGCCTTGGACGATGTCCATTGGAGCTTTCTCAACAAACTGAAAAGGGGCAGCACAAACAAGACGGTTTAAAGAAGACAGTTCAGACATGCAACAAGTTCCAGAAAATTCAAATTTACTTTGTACATTATATTATGCTTCATACTGATAACAGATCATTTTCTACCGAAACAGATGCAACAGTATAATTTCACATGCAATGTTATATTGGCTGCTGTATACAGTGGACTATTCTTGCATCAGTTTGGATCACAGGGTTAAAAGCATAAACATAAAGAGCCTGTTCAAACAAGTGCTAAAGCAGTCCCACGTAGACACGTCCCTCTAGGAAAATGCTAGGACTTCGGGTAGATTGAACATGTTATTCAATAATTATGGGTGATGACCACTCCTAATAGCAACATAAAATTAGCAGTTATGGTCTGACATTTTAAAGTAGAAAATATTAAAAGGAAGACAAAGGAGAAGAAGATAAAAAAAAAATTAAAAAAAAAAAAAATCCATCAAGGAACAGTAACAATTCTTGATACAAATTTGCCTCTTGTTCTTTCTCTATTTTGGGTTCTATTATTGTATCCTTTTTCTTTGGGCATATTCATCTTCAATTTTATAATGATCATGCTCATCTGACAGGGCTTTTGGGGTTGGGTGAATGAGGAAAAAAACTTACACTAGACGAACTCAAACGGGCTCTAATTCCAGCATATTCGGCTTCCATTTTGGAGAGGCGTTTGGAAATGCGTTCTACTTCAGCGGAGATGTCCACCATATCAGCGAGTGGAAGATATGCCTCGAGACCTTCGCTTGCAACAACATGTACAGATTCATTGGCATTGCCTGAAAATCCTCTCATGTCAACATGACAATGAAGATACCCAAATAAACATCTCAAAATTAAAAGAAAGTGGTTTAATAAAGCTGTATTTCCAATTAATGTACCTGGAATTGCCTCAGAAAACTTGATCTGCACTGAATCCAATCTAGAAAGAAGAGCTAGAATTTCTTTCTCTCTCTGCAGCAAAAGACAAGAAGAGTTTTTGACTTGCAAACAGACAAATTTTTTTTTCTGGGTGTTTTCTATACTTTTTATTATCTTTAGGGCCACTGCATAAAACATTGGTGGACAAAACAACGTTTTAATATTTTCAGCAAAGAATAATTTTACTTCTCAGCGTGTCAGCAAAAGTCAACCCTAAATCATATTGCAGAAACAAATAGGGCAAAGTGTCATAAACAGTTTTGTTTGCTACACTTTAAAAGCATAATGTACTATTTTCTGGTCACTTTGTCCAATTGAAAAGGCCCGAGTCAAACATAAACATTCAAATGGTAAAACATTTTTATTCGATAAACTGCCGTAATAAAGTAACAGTGTTGGAGATCTACCGATATATACTCAAGCACTTCCGGGCTTGCAACGATGGTAGCAGATATTTTCTTTGCTGGCTCAACAGAGTATTCTGCTCGAACATTTCTAATAGCTCTTGTCTGAATTTGGAGAAATAGGGAAAATCAATAACCACTGATAATCCATTGTGTCCCAAAGGCCACCCGGACTTGCTGATGAGAGGAATTTCAATGAACAGGGGAAAAAGAAGTTTAGCTGCACGTACCAAAGCTTGCAAGTTCTCAAACCGTTTAATGGACTCCATACTCCTTGGAAGTGAACTGGAAGGCCAAGCAGATATCATTATAGCTTCCTCTTCAGAAGGTAGTGCCTATAGTAAAATAAAAAGGGGTCAAAAGATGAAGTTGTTTGAAATTTTAGGAAAAACTTGATAATAGTAAAACTTCAAAAGCTAACAATTCGAACTTTATCAATATAGTAAAAGGATTCATAGGAGTACAGCATAATCTAAAAGATGTTCATCAGATCTCCTGAGAGGTGTAAAAAGAATACATTCAATAATGAAATCACCTCAGTAGTGAATTGATAACTAGGATTAAAAACTACCACACAGAAAATTTCTGTCTGGAACTAATAAGATTCACATCACATATGAATATAAGCTAGAATTTCATTAATCTACCAAAGTTTGCAAGACGTCATCAAATTAGTGCCAGAAGTGCAAATTCGGGAAAGGGAGAAAACAGCTATCAATTAGCCTGTCAACTTGTTCAAAATGTGGAAATTACAAGGATTTACCTTAAGAAAATAGTATAAAGCACGGAAACCTATAGAAAGCACAAACATGTAATATAAACAGAAATTAAAGGATCAAGATAAAAAGCTGTCTCACAAATGAAAGAACCAATCAACAGGCAAAACTTCAATGTACCTGCCAAACCTCTTCTGTTACAAATGGCATAAATGGATGCAGAAGTTTCAGAATGTTTCTGAAAACATATACAAGAACTTTCTGTGCTATAAAAACACGTGACTGACTATCGGATCGATAAAGGCTAGCTTTACTAGCTTCAATGTACCTGCAGGAAGAAACAGACAGACAACATTCAAGTCAAAGACAAGTATCTACAGATGGTAAGATTTGCTGGGACACACACACAAGCGCACACACACACACACATTATCCATAATGAGGACTGGCTTATTTATATAAAATGGATGCTTTAGGCCGGAAAAATAAATTTTATTGAGGTAGATTGGGATCGCATATAAGCGTCTTGTTTCAAGTAAAAGAATCCTAATATTATTAGCTATTTTCAGGAATATGACTTTATCCACAACTTTGGTATAATATCTACACAGAAAAGTAGCATGGTTAGAGAAACATTTTTCAATCCACGACTACTTCAAAAAATATAAGCACATCTACTTTAGTCACTGTTGCCGACGGTGGACACCCTGCAATATGCAAAAAAAAAAAAAAAGAAAAAAAAAAGCATATAAACATTACGCACTGTACTGGATATTGGCTAGAATAACACCACATAACCACATTAATGAATGTTCTCCAGAAAGCCTACCAGCATTTCGTATCTGTTCAAGATGAGATACTAACCTACTTTTCATTTTGTCTTTCATAATTCATTCTTTCCAATATAACCTGTTAGATTGGTCCAAATCCTCTTCTATTTTCTTTTTTCCCCCAACACTGCAGTTCAAAAAACATGTTCACTTTCCATGTTCATGTTCAAAATCATTTGGACAGTTTTCAGGTTGACAAATAATAGATCTCAAGGGTGTCTAGCAGTATATGGTCTACTCACTTTTTGAATCAAGAAATAATTACTTCTCATCTGCATAGTAATTCACAAAACGACAACCCTAAACTTATTGTTGCAACTTACTTACTTCTGGAACTGTATTCCAGTTAAACTTCTTATGAAGAGCAATAATGTTTATGGAATTACATTCTCCTGAAAGTTCAAGAAATTTTAAATAGAAATATTCGAAAATAAAATACCGTACCAATCAGCAAAATCAGCCCAAAAGAAATCGTATAATTCTCTTGCAACATCTCCAAAGAAATATTTTTCATAGCTAGCTGTCACTGTGTCAATGAGCACATGAAGTTTTGATACCTAAAGTATTCCACAAATCAGTTAGATTTGGAAATCATCATGAAGTTAACTTACTGGCATAAATGAGATGTTTCTCACCACCCAACATTCGGCCAGAGGTAGTTGGAGCACAGACTCCTCAGTATCAAACTGCAAAGAAACAAACAAGTATCAGCAATATACATCTGCCCAAGAGATATTAGAATGCAACATGATAGAGATAGAGACAGAATTAAGATTATCTCAAGTAACTTCAGCCAATTTGGAGGTCCATAGAGCAATCTAACAAACGTCTTTACACATTTTAGATCGTCTACCGCAACAAATTAAAAAAAATTAAGAAAAGGGAAGAAAGGATAAGATAAATGGTACTAGAGACCCATAATTCAAAATAAATGAATACTAGCTCGAAGTGCTTCTGTGATCTGCGCTATAACTGATTAAAGCAGCATCTCAAGCTAACTTTGTAGATAGAAACAGACTAATGAACTCAATCTTTACCAATTTTGTGACCAACCATCCCGCCATGCCTCAAACACGGAACTCATTACTAACTGGGTTAAGAAAATTGAAATGGTTCCTCAGAAGTTCGATTCAATATAATAAACGTGAAATTCAGATAACACTTTTCATGACATCAACTAATAGAAAACAGACCTTATGAGCCTCCAAAGCTTTTCTAGAAGAGATGTCATTTTGAGATAAATTTTGTAGAATGAACTTGCCAGCATTCCACAATTTGTTAGTGAAGGCCTTGTTAGATGCCAATCTCTCAGTAGATAAATTTAGATCCTGCCAATATATAGACATCATAATTCAACACAAGCACGTATTTTCATTATAAGAACTGATAAAGCAAGCACTTGCATTAAGTCCGGGATATATCTCCAGAAATCTAGAAACAGCTTATTTGTACAACTTCAGAAAGACAAACCTGACCAGCAGTCCCTAAAGAAAGAGTGAATCTCAAAGCATCAGTCCCAAACTCCTGGATTGTATCAAGTGGATCTATTACATTTCCCAATGTTTTTGACATCTTCCTACCCTGAAATATGCCAAGACACAAGAATAAGCATTTGTCGGAAAATTCAGTATTACATCATGAAGCAGAATGCATTTAAGTATATCATACAAAATTTGCTAATATTGTAAAAAGAAGAGCATTAACGCGCATAACAATTCCAAAGAGTTAACCGTAACTTGAGAATCCCGAATAAGTCCGTGCAGATAAACACTTCTGAAGGGAACTGTCCCGGTAAACTCAATTCCCATCATCACCATTCTCGCAACCCAAAAGAACAATATGTCGTGCCTGATCAGAAAGCACAAGGGGTCACTAACATTAAGGAGACAATTATGTTAATTATTGACAAGAAACCTATCATGCCAGATTAGAAAGCACACATGGTCAGTAACTTAAAAAGCAGAATCAATTATTTGAATGAATGACCAAATATTTTCTAACAAGAAAAATTAGCTTAGTCAAAAGTTCCAAACTGAGATCGCTATGTTCAGAGAATTATGATAAGGCAAATGATTGGTCCAGAAAGATCGCAACATAAACTCCACGATGAAAAGAGGAGGAAACTCCAGGCATATTACAGAAGATTGGGGTTCTAGAGCTTTTTATTCTCTTAGCGGGTATTGCTATTGTACCCCAATGAGAGTTGATGGAAACATCACCAAAAGATACCAGATGCTAATTGTAGCCTGTCAAGATAGGGTATTGGCATCAAATTAAGCCAAACTCTCTCCGCTGCTAAACATTTCGACCAGTCACATTTGGCCACAAAACTATGTTTTGCATCACAGCCACTAACCTCTTAAAGAGGGCACAATATGAAGCTTCTATGCTGGAAACATTCTCAATCACACCCGCAAAAGGTCAGTACTAAAGGCCAGTTGTGTCAGTTTTAAAATTTTAGTGAGCAAGTTGTGTCAGTTGTGTCAGTTTTAAAAGTAGCTCAAAGAGACTAATCAAAATGTTTTACGGATAAAAAAAATAGTTCAGTGGTCAAAAGTGCCTATTCAAAATGTTTTTATGGTAAAAAATAGTCCAGGAGTTCCCTAAATTTAAAATTAGCAGGAGCTTATGAAAGAAAGAAAAAAGACTTAAGCATAGATTTAAAAACAGACAATAAAAATGTCAAACACACGATAATATGAGGCCTCAAGTAGAAACACCCAAAATAATCTCTAGATGAATTTATACTGCTCGTCACATCATTCCAATAAAACGAGGAAGACAGCATAGAAGAGGTCAGAGAATTTCCCGATACACCCAAGCATTGAAAATCCAACACACATGGACGAGAAATGTACCCAGTTTCCAAAACTGATGTAGGATAGAATTGCTTGAGATCTTCAGCTGACATATCTGGCCAACCAAGAGTGCTGAAAGGCCAAAGAGCACTAGAGAAAAACCAAACAAGAAATTTTGAATTAGATCACATTGCTGATATAGATAAATGAGCCATCCCAAAAACATGATAGGTAAGAGCTTTCTCTTCAGCAGATAGACAAAAAGCATGCGAATAGCATTTAGAAAATTACAAGAAATTGTCAATAACCTTAGACCATTGACCCTGTTAATTTTGTTTATTTACAAGGATCGGGTATAAATTTTTTAAATGCATTTTATGCTGTTACGTTTGTTAATATTATGGTATCTCCACATTGTATAAATTTTCAAATTCTAGGTGCCTTTGATGCTCTGCTTTCGGAATGAATCTGCTATCTCGATCTAAAGAAACTACTATGTAATTATGCCCATATCTCATGATCGTGAAACATCTTAAAAGCAATCAATGAAAAAATAGAGATAAATAAATTTACAAAAATGGCGACTATCTTCTGCAGCACCTTTGCCGGCTGAATAGCAAGATGCTTGTTTCAACTGTTTGCCAAAATCAATATGCTAGTAATTCTCCCAACATAAACAATGGGAATTCTAGTGCTTTTGCTGAAGCAAAACTTTTTCTTAACAATATGTCCTTTGTCATTCACTCTAACTCCATACTGGATGTATGATGAGTTACCAAAACTAGTACCTTTACCATAAAGAAACCTCAATTCTAAGGAAAGAGAGATAAAAATTACAGAAAGCTGCTCTTTAATTAGATAACTATCATTTGAATATTAGCGTGGGAGTATTTCATAATAGAAATTTTCTTAATCAAATGTCGCAAGAAAAGATAAGAATTGTTTTGAGATGTCCAATAAGGAATTACAGCGTACAACATACAAGTCGTTCCACTAACCTCGAGAACCAAGTGTCAAGAACATCTGGATCCTGATATATTTCAACATTTTTTCCATATTTTTGGTAAGCTTTGTTGAGAGCTTCTTCACCACTTTTAGCAACTATATATTCCTCTTCGGGATCTTCACCAACTATATACCAGACAGGAATACGGTGTCCCCACCATAGTTGCCTGCTTATACACCAGTCCTTGATGTTGGACAGCCAATGATTATATATCTGGATCCAGCAAATCGCATGTGTAAGCAACAGGATAGAAACTAAGAGGACAAGTCTGAAACGTAAACTAACAAAGGGAACAAGTTTGGCAAAGGTGATTGAACCATAATAGATGGCCAACTCCTGTGGACATGCTAAGGACCAAGACAGGTAACCTGTGCTTCCATTTAAAGGCTAAACAAAGCCCAACTCCTTGTTTGTGGAAAGTTGTTTAGTTTAATAAGAGAAAATAACCTTTACCACAGTTAATTTTAAGTATAAATAACAGAACTATGATATAGTCCTTCTATTGCACTTGACCATACTGGAGAAGAATAAAACTTTTGTGAGATAGAAAATGTCATGTTGGTCAGTATACCGACATCAAATCAAAGCACAAGAAAAGCACCAAGAGCAATTTTTTTACGAAACAAACTAAAAGTTATGCAGTTAACACCAAGAACAAAGACATTATAAATCTACAGACCTTCTCGAATCTTTCAGGCATGATAGTCAATTCTCCCTTTTTAACTGCTTCTAGCGCCTTCTCAGCTAACGGCTCCATTGTCACGAACCACTGCTTACTTATGAGAGGCTCTATTATCTGATTAAAAACATCAAATATGTTATAGAAGTCAACAATCGTTCTTTGGAACTCTAGACAAGTAAAACCATAATCTTACCTCTCCACCACGTTGTGATCTGGGAACTCGTAAGGTGTGATCCTCCTTTTTAACAGCCAACCCTGTCAGCTCAAGTTCTGACCAAACTTTCTTCCGAGCCTCAAAACGATCAAGACCACTGGATACAACAAAGAAAATTAATAAACACGCACACAGACACACACACACATGTATAAGACCAATTTACTAGACAGCACTGTAACACTTACGAGTACAGTCCAGCAACCTCGTTAAGTGTTCCATCCTTGTTCATCACAGTAAGTATGGGAAGACCAAGTTTCCGGGCAAGAAGATAGTCGTTGTGATCATGCCCAGGGCTTATTTTTAACACACCAGTTCCAAAGTCTTTATCAACATACTGCAAAATATGAAAGAATATCCAGAAATTAAGTAGTTGCTACGCACCTATAAAGCTTCAATGACCATCTTTCAGAAGGAGATAAACAAAACAAGTTAACTCCACAATCCTCCCACTTACAATCAGAAAATGGCTCTTTTCATTTAGGCATTAATTTTTTGTAGGACTAGTATACTTAAATATAATTCAAACCAAAAAGGCAAGATGTACAAATCTCGGGAATTTAAGAAGTTGAGAGAAAAGAAGAAACCACTGATTTCACAAATAAGAAAAGATAGGGGAAGATGACTTAAGGGTTAGTTCCATCCCTCTTTTCAAGTAGGCAATGCCAACAATGTTCGACATGAACAACAAATTAAACACAGAAAAACAAATGCCCCATCATACAAACTCAAATAACATCATCTTGCCATTTATAACTTTCACAGGGAAATGCATCATAATCATTGCTTTTATCTATCATCTTTGATCCAAAACAAAGTGGACTCGCTTAGACAGCAGAAAATGCAACATGATACCTTATCCGCAATAATTGGGACATGTCGCCCAAATGTCAAAGGGACAATGGCCATCTTTCCAATATACTTAGAATACCTTTCATCCTGCAAAAGAGAATAAACCACAGTAAACCTGTCATGCAGTGAAATTTTCTGCCATACAGTAAGCAAAAAAGGAACACGTATGAACAACATAGAAGGGTGCAATAACTGCCTGGCAAACGGCTTCTTCAAATTCAAGATGGGATTTTGTTTTCTGTCTCTGATCTATTGTTGGACCTCATAAGGTAGGGCTTTCTTTTGGCGACTTTGTACTAACTATATGTAACAAATATTTTGGATTTCAGACCAGCCCCCGCCCCCTAAAAACAGAATAGACGAAGGAATTTGCCAAAGGAAACTGTTCATTGAAAAAAGAAAGAACGGACGAGAGAATATAATGCAACAACACTACATCTGTTTTAACAGAACTAGAAACCAGTACTTTAAGATTAAGATTAAATATCAATTAACCAGTTTAACCAACACACCTTTGGATTCACTGCAACAGCTGTATCACCAAACAATGTCTCTGGACGTGTGGTAGCAATTGTCAACCAATCATCCCTACAATCAAAAGAAAAGCAAAAAAGAGAAACAATTCAGACTGAATTACAGGTTCTGCTCTGCAAGACGAGCAAATTCTCTACGATATTGAAACGAAGCATAAAATGCCGTCTTTCCCTGTGATTCCCAAAAGATAATTAAGTTTTCAAAGTTCAAGAAATGGGTGTTCTTAAATGATGTGTTCATGCAAGATGAGAAGGATTCAACATGATATTTGCATATATGAATAGCTTCCTTAATAAAACAAAAAAGCACATCAAAACTATTTAAGGTTCAACACATTTCATAGCTCCCTGTCACTTTGCTATCACGAGTATATTCAAAATGAATATGAAGAACACATTTTCTTACTAGACAATGTCTAGAAACGGGCTCTATTGGGGTTCAGACATATTCTTCCCTTACACATTATAGTGAAGTTAAAACACAACAGGATTGCAAATCGAATGAATAGAGGTCAGAAGGAGGCTTCTAAAACTTCCAGAGCTGTTATGAATATCAACAATTGCATCAGATATGCCAAATCAAAGAGAAACATCTGGTAAGGACTGGACCTTGAACCTCCAGCGACACGGTATTTGATGTAATATAGCGACCCAGGTTCTTCAGAATATTCCACTTCCTAAAAAAGATGGAAAAAATGCACTTCATATTAAAAGGCATAGCTTGAGAACCTAAACAGGTGCCAATGAGTGGGTATCAACAATTAAACTATACATACCAAGTCAGAAACTGCAGTCTGTAATTTTGGGGACCAGTTAACCATATATGAACCTGCTCAAAGACTAAGAAACATCCTTAGAAAGTACATAGGAAGACCTCTCCTACAAACCCATTGCAATGGAAACTAAGGATGAAAATTTTTCATTTGGTAAATGTAGGCAACTCTTTTTCTTGTTTGTTTTCCCAGCTTCATTTAGTATCTATCAGCCAAAACACTGAATGAAAAGTGGTTTATACCATAAGATATCTGGAAAGATTTTACATCACGAAAGGATTTAATTACAAGTTACTCTAATCATATAGCTTGGTTGTGTACCACAAAAGATTCAATCTACCAGATATTAACTTGAAGAGAAAGGTCTTAACCTTGATAAATCAATCCTTTCTCATGAAGCCGAACAAAGGCTTCTGCAACCGCTCCTGCAAAAATCAAGGATTATTTTTATATTTTTGTAGCAGGTAAAATCAATATCCCCGGGAAAAGTAACAAAAATGGAAATAAGAGGAAAAAGAAAAGGGAATTATAAGAACGAAGAAAAGAGAAACCATAATGCAACAGTAAAATTCCAAACTATAATAAGAAACTTTTCCAGTATGCTATATTTTCATAAGAAAAAAGGCACATAGTACTGGAGTTTTGATGAAAATGCCTTACGGCTCAGCTCTGGATCAAGCGTGAATCTTTCTCTACTCCAATCACAAGAAGCGCCAAGTCTTTTGATCTGATTTGTGATGGTTCCACCATACCTAAGAGTTAACAGGAAATAGAAATAATGAAAACTGTGACGGGGTGAAGGATCATAACTTTCACAGAACTCATGCAATGGGAAGTAACAAGAGGCTTACTTCTCTTTCCACTCCCAGACTCGTTTCGTGAACTCTTCTCTGCCCAGATCAATCCTTCTAATCCCTTCAGCTTCCAGCATTCTCTCCACTACCAGCTGAAAGGAAGAGAAACTATCATCACAAATGTCCGCAAAAAATAAGTTGTGAAATACAGACACAACAATGTAAACAATTCTCATTGTTTTGCTAAGTTTGCAAGATTACCAATACTGAAGTGGTGCTAAAGAACGAGAAATTCAGTGTAACAAGTAACAACTCAACAATAAAAAAATTATAATACCAAAAGTACATCTTTCAGATCTTGACGAGAACCTGAGTTGCAATACCGGCATGGTCAGTTCCAGGGAGCCAAAGTGTAGGTCTTCCTTTCATGCGATTATATCTAACCATAATATCCTGAAAAACCAACCACTTGAATATGTAAAAAAACAAAAAAAAAAAAAAGGACATTACAAAGCAAAAAACCAGGAGAATCAAATGCACCATTATTCGATTTTCCCTAAGCCTAGAGCTAAAGTTGATGCGTAAGCATGAAATGGCACACATTATTCTCATCAAGATGGCTTTGTGCAGTGTTATGCTGTAAGCAGAGAAGAGAAAGTTCAAACAAGATCCTGGCTCTTCTCCAAACTCATAGATTCTCGCATTTTTCCTTCCCCTTTTTTAGGGCATAGTATCGTGCTGCAAATGTGGAACATACGAGGCAGACAAAAATCCACTATGCCCTGAAAATTTTAATGTATCACGTTGAAGTATTTCAAATCTTATCATGGAGGAGCTTGTTATCTCTCATTTCCCATTACATAAAAAGTCCACTCGCCCCTTTTCCCCATGTTTAATATGTCACATTAATTCTAAATATGGAAAAAGTTGAAATCATTATTTTCCCCTCTCATATCCTCTAAAGAACTTGGCAAAATCCATTATAAAAAACAATAATACGTCTCACAAGTCGACAAAAAGTCAGAAATTTCGGAACTTTTCAAATGACAGTATCTGATGTTCCATATTTGAATAGTTAGAGAATTCAAAATAGGGTCCAGAAAACTTTGTTCACTCCCAAGTCGTCTTTTTCTTTTCTTCAGTTCTTTTCGTAACTAGACATGATGGGTTTGTCGAACAGCCTTAATTAATGATTGTATCATACTGCATACGTTAAACTTTAGGCTTCACATATACAAACGCAAAAAAAAAAAAAAAAAAAGAATTCTCTATTTGCCAGTCTTGATAATGGAAGAACCACTCAAAAACCATACAGAACAGTGCAACCTATCCCATTAGATATTGCATGTTAAGATTTTGATAGAGGCATAGAGCATGATATTTAACAAGTGAAGGGCGCAAGAATCCGCTGGCCAAGTTTATCTCAGCTTCTGATGGAAAAATAAAATATTTTCACAAATACAGGAAATCATAAAACAAAATAGAGGATAAAGAAAAATCATCTACGGATAATTCTAACCTCAAGAGTAACAAACATGGCATGGCCCATGTGCAAAGAACCAGTTACATTAGGAGGAGGCATTGGGACTACAAAAGAATCCTTTCCCCTATCGAAACATGGCTTGAAATATCCTCGAGATTCCCACCTGATATCCAACAAAATTTTCTAAATAATGGATTTATACAGAAACATTTTTCCTTCAAAAGAGCACTAGCTGAAATTGCAAGTATTTGACCTGCATATACTCAGTCAAATAAAGAGCTAACACCCTGAGAAATCAATAACAATTAAAGTCAGAAATTTCTGAAGAGTCTTGCGATTCATTTATCTAACACGCATTACACAACAACAAGAAGTACGCATTATGATGAAAGAAAATATGTGGAACAAGAATAACAATAGCCACAAAGTTCCAGATATCAACACTAGATTTGTCAATAAGTTCCATGTAAGCCATACAACATATAATAAGTTTGAAACGACCAAGGGGTTTGTAAGGGGGGTTTTACCCACATTTAAGTGGGCCCATTGGGGTGGAGTTAAAAAAAAAAAAAAGAAAAAAAAGGAGGAGTTTAAAATGACTAAAGGCTGCTAGTTTTTGGTCTTCTCAACATTGAATTAATTTCTTTACAGCAATAAAGAATACTCGAATGATGATCCCCGCAAAAAGGCCTTGATAATTATTTATGACTTTGAAGCATCATCAACACATTAGAAATTTTTGCCTAATCATTTGCCTACATATGGGTGAATCCCAGAAAGAATAGTGAATAATATAAGATGCAATTCTCTTAAAAGAAAAAATTAACTAAATAAAGAGCAGTAAAGATAGTACAGAAAACAAATTGAGGTTGAGGTCTAGATTGAGGGGTAAAAAAAAAGAAAAAAAAAAAGAAGCTAGAAATTTAATGATTAAAAGAACTAAATAATCAACAAAAGAAATATGATGCTACCACGAAGAATGTACATTCACAGGAAACTAAAGGGCAGAACCCAGGAAAGGATAGTGGCATTACCACTTGTAAATCCGCTCCTCATTAGCAAAATCAAATGACTTAGCAATCTCTGGTGAAGTGAACTCACCAGCAATATCTGATGCAGCTGCAGCAGCAACTGAAACAATACACAAATCACTTATTTAAGCTTTCAACGATCTCAAGAATGCGTTACAGATTCTTCAAAAGTTATGGCTCAACGAGAAATACAGTTTATTGAATTCATCCTAAGTCAACCTCGAAAAAGATTAAGAAACTACACATGCTCTGAGAAGGATCCATTTAACTTCAATGTTAACTATTCTTGCGGAGCCCATTACAAAGAAAACAACAACTAAGCTCTTTTTTACTATGCCAGTCATAAGTTGCCGTGCACAAGTCTCTTCCTTTATTTAAAGGAAGAGTTCGTTTCTTCTTGTTTATCGAATCACAAATTTCTAAAACAGCAACACATTCTTTGAAGCCTAAAGATGTGTACAGGCCTTAAAACAGTTCAACTGAAAAATCTTTGGAATCAATCATTAAAATTCCGTGGCCATCAAGAAAAGATGTTAGGTTTAAGCTGATAAGCAGCAGAAAATCAAGTAGAAACGGAAAGGAAACGGTAGGGAAAAATGCAGGAAAATAAGAGCTAAAGAATCACCCTTGAGAAGACCTTTAAGCATCATATCAGCATCACAAAAGACAATAATGTCCCAGGAGTCATTAGCTGAATTCTGATCTACCTATTTATAGACTAAAACAAATACCTAAACCAATTAACTAACTGAACGAACGACTTTAGTGCTGATTTTGTAGTGCCCTTTCCATCAGGACCATTTTATTAAATTTCCAAAACAAAAAATGAGAATTACAATCCCATCCTGCTTTGGATGAAGAAAACCCATAAATTCTCCGTAGAAAACACTATTTCCATCACCAAACACATGAACATACTAGCTCTGCAACAGCGTAAATTAAGCAGATTAAAAACCGCTTTCTCCCAAAAGTTTACTTCTAGTTTTTCTTTCTTTTTCCAAGGAAAATAGGAAATCAACAGTCCAATTTATCTTGAATAAAAATTAAAGATTCATAAAAAAAATTCCAGAAAAACAAACTAAAATACACACACACACACATTTTCATTATTAATGCATAAAATTTCGGACATTTTCAATTAACATGCAACGGTCTAGCATTTCTTGCCAATTCCTTTTGTGGGATGATTTCAATTTCACATAAAAGAAATATACTGAAAAGGAAGAGGGAAAAGAAAATGGACCTGTACAGAACTTCTTCATCCCAAGTTCACTTGTCCTGAAAACCGTACAACGGCTTCTGGGGAGTGGAAAATAGAGACTTGAACTCAAGAAACGACGCCGTGGAGGATGATTGAGGAGTATAGGGTTTCTCATTCTGTTGTAAAGAAGCCATGATGATGATGATGATGATGATAATGGAACCGAAGCAGAAACAGAGGAAGAAGAAGGAGAAGATAGAGTGCTCAAGTGAGCCATGTTTGGCTCGATAACATGACAAAAGGAATAATAAAGAAATAAAAACCCAAAGGTCTCTCAAAAATATATATATATATATATATATATATATTGTAAACTATTTGTAAAATACGAGTTGAATTGAGGGGTCATAAATACATCAAAATAAACATGTCGGACCAAGAAAAATATGTAACATAATTGATACTCAAATATTTTGAAATTGTGCATTATGCTAGTTAGTGCTCCATTCGTATCAATAATGTTATCTACATTATAAATTAATTGTACTGTTTTTACAATTTACAAATAAATTTCATAAAATGTAATCCACACTTTGTTTTTAGTAAAAAGTTTATCTCCTTATAATAAGTGTTTGGGCAAAAATTGCTACTCGAATCGTGGAAAGGGAGAAGAAAAATACCCAAACACAAAAACAAATCAAGCGACTGTGGATGTGTTCGAAAACCTGCCTGAATCGAGGATTTAGGGTTAATTTTGGTTTAATAAATAATAAGAAAAAATATAGGGAAGAAGCGAGACAAGCCAAAGTGATGGCCTTGAATTCATTAAAGGTGGTAGACAAAGAGATAGGAAGCCTGACTAACTTGGGAGAACATCGATAATGTGCTATTACGAGAAAAATCGAATTCAATTACAAGGAGAATCGAATTCACTGAAGTAGAAAAGAATAAACGACTACCTATTTCTATGAAGGAAAGCCAAAAACTATTTAATTTAGGCTAACTATGAAAACATAATAAAAATACATAAAAATAAATAAAAGAGAAGGAAAAATGATAAGAATTAATAATGATGAGTTGAGGTCGTGTGTTCTGTGCTCTCGGCCGCCCCTTTTATAAGCAACAAACCTAAACCCTAAACCCTAAACCCTAAATAGCTTTCTTGGAGACAAAGTAGCTCCCTTTCCTAAAAGATAGGAGCTTAGCCGAACTAATCATAGTGGAAGTAGTCCACGTGACTTCTTTTGGAAACAAAAGAGCTTGCAAATCACCTCCCAAAAGCAAGGAGTTTGGCCGACGCAACTACACTCCATTTAATCTAAATATTTGATCAAATCCCATTAATAAATGAATCACTATCCGGGAAACTTTCTAATCCAAATCAAAGTAGGCTTCTTTTGCAAACCAATCCCAATCAAAGAGGCAATAGAATTAGCTCCAAATATTATCTCTAAATTGTAGGAAACAAACCAAATCAGCATAGGATTTCTTTGTTGCTTAACAATCTTTCTCCGACTTGAACACTAATATTAAGAAAACTCCGCCTCTTCAGTTGACGGCTAAATCGGCCAATCAAAAAGACCCAAATTTATTTTGGGGTATAACATAAAGCCCCCGGAACGTCCATATAGAATGGAATGAGATGTGGACGTTGATAAGCAAAATGTCACCAGAAATAAGCATTTGGCACGGCACTAACATCGACATACTGCCAACCTGGAACAATAAAGTAACACGGAACCCATGCATAATGAGGAAAATGATGATTAAAGCGAGGTGTATGCTTACTTTGCCAAGATCTCCTTCGAAAATCATCTCTTGTTCCAGAATTTCTTGAACTGCGTCTAAAAAAAACGCCAACTATGGTTGCCAATATTGTCGCGACGACCTTTATGATCTTGTTGGAACTAACCCCTATGTGCAGGAGAACCACTATTCTAGCACCCACTATCATTCTGAACCTGATAGTTTGATGTGGCACTGATACTTTCAACCGCTTCATTAATCATCGACAACTTACTAGCATCTGCAACAAAACATGCTGGATCACCGTCGACCTTATCATCAATTGTCGACACTTCAACAACAGATTTTTTCTCTTGGTCGGCCACACATTGGGTAGTAATATCACTACTAATCTTCGGCGGCAAATTGCTTGACTTATCATCAACAACCTTGGCCCGAAATGCCTTGATTCTGCTAGGTCGCATAACGGAGGGTGTAAGCATCTTTGACTGATCTCTTGCAGAACGCTTCTTTTCTCGGCCAATTAATGATTTTAGCAACTCACGATCTTTAACCAAATCAATCCTCCACTCTACAGCAACACCATAATCCAAATAAGCATAATTATTGTCACCACCATTAAAATCAATGCCGCGTAATGGAGGACCGTCATCGACCTTTTTTGAAAAGTGAAAACCATGCGGTATTGGCTTCCCTTTACTCCACTTGCTTCTTCTATTAGCAGAACGTCTCTTGTCATAAAGCCAGACATGATTAGACTTCTATTTAACCGGCAAGGAATCTGTTGCATTATTGACTAATTCGGCACTACTGTTGCACCGCTGATCTTGGAAGCCATCATTAGAAACTGCAACTTGTTGGCTTGTTGCTGCTTCTTTTGGAACATCAGCAATTAAGCATTGAGTCGGTTCAACTGTAACAGATAAATTGGCATCAGTTGTTGCCACTTGGCCTTGCTCCTGCTCACCCTTAATTTTGTCGACACTTGGATAAACAAAATTATCAGTTGCAGGCAGAGCATCGTCACAGTTGTCACAAATAATCTCCTCGATATCACTGTCGTTGCTAGAAGACTCATAAGATTTCCTACAATCAACTTCAACAGACAGTCTCGTTTTCAACAATGACAAGTTCATTAGACAAACAAAACGAATCAGTATGCTCACAATGCTCAGTAACAACTATAGTTTCAATAATCGACAATGATTCACTCGCCGAAATTGTATTTAATTGCTGGAACACCTGTTCATTTACAGCGACAAATGCTTGTTGAGGGTGCTTAGACTCTTTCTGTTGGCCTTCCCTAATCTTGCCACATTCAGTGTCAAAATCACTAGGTAGCCCCCCGGGGTGTCGACAATAAATTTGTGATAGAACTTTCATGCAACTGATCTGCTATGCCAACTGAGCTTTCACTTGTTTCCTGCATCTGCTGATTTTGTTGTACCACTTGCAGATTATGTACCTGCGACACTACCTGATGTGACTGCAACTGTTGCAACTCTTGCATAATCTGTTGTTGTGCCAATGCCTGCAAATTCTGTTTCTGTGACACTTCTGAATATTGCACCGGAAACACATGATGATACTGTACCGGCGGCGCTACTTGCTGATACTGTGCCGGTAACATTTGCTGATATTGCATCGACGACCCCTAATATTGCTGTATCGATGATTTTGCTTGCTGATATTGCACCGACAACACTTGTTGCTATGTCGACGATAGAACTTGTTGATATTGTGGCGAAGGAAACTGCTGTTGCAGAGCCTGTATCTGAACTTGCTGATGTTGCGGCTAAAGAACCTACAGTTGTTGCGCCTGCATCTGACCTTGCTGATGTTCCAGCGACAAAACCTACTATGGTTGCGCCTGAAACAAAACTTGCTGATGCTGTGGCGACAAAACCTGCTGTTTTTGCGCCTACAACAGAACTTGTTGATGCTGCATCAGCGACACCTGTTGTTGCTGCTACGCCGGCATCTGTTGCACCCTGTTTTCACAGACTGGCACTTTATGAAAATCATGTGTAGCCATTGAATTACCAACAACGGCCAGCCCCCCGAATCTTGAGGGAACTTATACCATAGACCCGTCACACCATCTGTCGACACAACTAGATTGTTGTGTTTTGCGATATTGACTGTAAGATTGAGAAAAGCGGCTATCAAGGGTTGCCTTCCATCTGATATTATTTTCAGCCCCCAAAGAATTATGTCCTAGGTGCGGAACTATGGGCTATTGAGAGATATGCCCACCAAGTGGTGATAGACTATAAGAATATGAAAATTGGGGATTATTAGGCGACCTATTGTACGAAGAAGAAGTATAGATCGGATCCCTAGGGCTACTATTAACTATGACTATTAGAATAGTCCATGATAAGAAAGAAAAATAGAGAATTTTTTTTTTAAGAAGAAAGAGAGATCTTTTTAAAAATAGAGATTTTAAGAAAAATAGACCGCCACAATCTCGGAATCAAACCAAAGCTAGTCTCACTGGGTGTGCCATGTTTTATGTTTGAGCAAAAATTGTCACTCCGATCGTGGAAAGGGAGAAGAAAAATACCCAAACACAAAAAAAAAAATCAAGCGACTGTGGATGTGTTCAAAACCCTGCCTCGGACCTAGAATCGAGGGCTTAGGGTTAACTTCGGTTTAATAAATAATAAGAAAAAAAATATAGGGAAGAAGCCAGACAAACCAAAATGATGGCTTTGAATTCATTAAAGGTGGGAGAAAAAGAGATAAGAAGCGCTGTCTAGTTAGGAAGAACGTCGATAATGCGCAATTACAAGGAGAATCGAACTCACTGAAGTAGAAAACGATAAATGAATACTTATTTCTATGAAGGAAAATAGAAAAAAACTATTTAATCTAGGCTAAACTATGAAAATATGATAAAAATACATAAAATAAATAAAAGAGAAGGAAAAATGATAAGAGTCAATCATGATGAGTTGAGGTTGTGTGTTCTGTGCTCTCGACTGCCCCTTTTTAGAAGCAACAAATAGGTTATAGCTTTCTTGGAGACAAAGTACCTCCGCCTCCTAAAAGATAGGAGCTTAGCCGAGCTAATCATAGTGGAAGTAGTCCACGTGACTTCTTTTGGAAAAAAAATAGCTTGCAAATCACCTCCTAAAAGCAAGGAGTTTGGCCGACGCAACTACACTCCATTTCGTCTAAATATTTGATCAAATCCCATTAATAAATGAATCGCCATCCCGGAAGCTTTCTAATCCAAACCAGAATAGGTTTCTTTTGCAAACCAATCCCAATCAAAGAGGCAATAGAATTAGCTCCAAATATTTTTTCTAAATTGTAGAAAACAAACCAAATCAGCATAGGATTTCTTTGTTGCTTAATAATCCTTCTCCGACTTGAACACCAATATTAAAAAAACTCCGCCTCTTCGGTTGACGGCTAAATCGACCTATGAAAAAGACCTAAATTTATTTTGGGTATAAGAATAAGGAGCAAACAATATTATTGATTGAATTTTGTACGATGAAAAAAGCAGAAAATTTCACAATCAAACAAGAAAACCCAAGACCACACCGATCATGGATTAGCC